TGTATCACTCTTTGCAGGGAATCTCTGTTGCAGTGTATATCATCATCTGTCAAACTACGCCGCTTGTTGTCTATTTCATCGATATATTCATAGTAAGTTTGAGAGTTCACTCTTGGAATCACCAAATGCTAGTGCTCCCCAGAATGGTATCGGACCGGGCTACGTCTCCAAGTTCGTCTGCATCCTCCTGGCAGTACTCGGCATCGCCATTATGTCAGTATCAGGCGAGTGAAATGACCAAGTAAACGGTGGAGAAGGTGATCCTCAGCAATCAGATACAAAGGAGTCTAATGGTATGACCAACAGTCTGAGGTCATGTATTGAAGTATCTATTGCCACTCTATTATATGGTCTATTTGATGTCCTCTATGCTCAATGGGCAGCTCCAATATGCGACGATAAGATATCCCAAAACGGTGATGATGCCAATGAGGACGATATATGGCGGAGATACCCTCAGCAGCAACCAACCACTTGTGGAGGCTTCAACAGATTATCGTCCCAGATAGAGGGTATGTTCCTCCTACTCGCCCTACGTGCTGTGCCCGCTCTTATATTCCTCATGTGCACCATCCTACTAGGAGTATACGACCACGATTTACCGTGAGTTTCTCCACACCTCTCATCGCCGATGACTATCGTAAGTTCTTAGAGCTTACACCCGGGCTGATGTGACCGCTATGATTTGGGTTACTCTCGCTGATTGGGCATACAATATCGCTATGAGTACCGGTCTTGTGATGCTTTCACCTCTCTGGGTTACAATGGGTAGACTCTATTACTACCATCAGGGGTTCTATCAATTCGATTGTAGGTACGGTTCCCAGTGTTCCCGTCGCTCTAATATTCGATATGTTTGCCAAGGGACTCACACTGTCAGTCGGAGCCTGGACAGGTGAGGGCTTAGCGTCTCACAGCGAGTGGTGATCGCCTTATCTTGATATCAGGCGTTTTGTTGACTGCTGTGGGTTTCATCGTCTTCAACGTGATCTCTTCCAGAGAAGAGAGTGGTAAGCAGCGCGAGGCTGTTGGTCTCCCATCCGATCAGTCAGACTAACTGTTTTTGGTTTTACTCGAAGGTCCGTTATATCAATATTGACTCATTAGCGAACTTGATCTCCCTTAATCCTGTTGAGTTTCCTATACATAGACTAACTAAACATTGAACCACATCATTTCCCATGCAAGTTCGACAATGGAGCAGACATGAATGACAATTACACAGGCAAGTTCGATAATGAACTTCTCGGAGTGGCATAGCCGCCCCAATCAGAGGAACTGCTTCTCGTAAAACATACTTTGAGGTGGCATAGCCGCCCCAATCAGAGAAACTGCTTTCCCTAAGGCATATTTGGGAATGGCATAGCCGCCCCGATCAGAGAAACTGCTTTCCTCAAGGCACAGTTGGGAATGGCATAGCCGCCCCAATCAGAGAAACTGCTTTTCGTAAGGCATATTTTGAGGTGGCATAGCTGCCCCAGCGTACCACACCATTCTAACAGCAATCTAGACGTCCTTCCAAGACTCGCACGCAAAACCTCCCAAGAACGACAAGGCGTGGTAATGATACATGACGGGAAGGTAGTGGTAAATTGGATGCCTATGTACATGTATATAGTATTAGTATATGGCATAATGTATTGACATTGGCATGCATATAGTATTAGTATATGGCATAATGTGTTGGCATTGGCATGTATCAGAATATGCCTTATTATCATCGACCCCCGGCATCTACTGAGGCAGCCGCAATGCTCTTGCCAGTAATGGTAGTGACTTCTGAGCTCTGAGAGAGAGAAATACATGTTCAGTGGAGAAGAGGGATACGGAACCTTCGCAGGCGTTCTTGCCGATAAAATCGATCAACACTATAGCCAGCAGGACCGGGAGAGTCTTCGGGAGGGGGTAGAAAAGAAGGCTCTCTGCCAGTTTTCACATAGCCCCTGAAAAAATGTCAAGCATAACAGAAGAAAAAGCATCATACTGATGTTGCATGACTACAAGCCAGGATGCATACGATTCCACAACGTTTTCCGTATGGCTCACGATCGTCACTGATGACGAGCGTAGTTGAGCTCAGACTGACATATGATAGAATTCGACCAAAATGCAGGACAGGAGATTCGCTGAGAACCCTCTAGGGAAACATACTCTGGGACAGATCGGATAACTTGGTTTTACCCAGCGTAAACCAATATAACAGTCGTACAGCATGAATCAATATGCTTACCTGGCGAATCTCGGGCCGCGATCTCGCTGCAGAGCTGACGTCTTACTCGCATCTCCGTATCTGAGAGAAACAGATTGTTAACCTCACCCATAGCAGTTCTCTTCCTTCTCGTTACGTGCCGGGCCCAGGCGCTAATGCCCGAATAGCTCGCTCCTCATCCAAATACGTCGTCTTCGGACTCTTACTCATGGAGATCTACACTCAGTAACTCGACATGACCGCGCGCCACGAAATTCACCTTTCCCTCATCCCATAATCCTGATCCCGACGGCAGGACTTTCGGGTCGTACGAGCCAGGCGGTGGTATGGACTTCGCCTTCTTCAGCTCGAACTCTGTTGACCCCGGTATTAACAGCTTAGAATTGGATGTGGATATTTTTGGAGCTGGATTTTCCATCACACCTATACATATACACCATATGATTATAGTGCGTCAACAACAAAACGTTAAGTGCATCTGCTGATAGATTCAACACTAAATTCTACAGGTAAATTCCCAAAAAAATCGCGAATAATTTTCCAATGGAAAGAATAGTCAATCACATATCGGGTATAATATTGGGAAAAGAGGAGTATCGATATCATGCACACACTTGTGGAATATACACGCTAATGAGAACCACAGTTAATGCTGAGACGATCACTGTTCATAGAGCGACTATAGTGAGCAGGGCCTGGCATAATCTGTCTTATATTCACCGGCTTTCCATTCAGGCATTCCTGCTGCTGTATTAGTATCTGATAAACCCAAGATGTCCCTACCAGGATTCGAACCAGGGACCTCCCACCTTCCGCTGAGCCATTAGCAAATCCTTCGTGAATAACATAGTAGAAATCTTCGCTTCTTTATCTTCAATCTCTCTACCAAGCAGATCCCTTCGATGCCGATCCACTCGTTCAACTGACAGGCCCCGCAGGTCGCAGGTTCGATCCCCAGCCCCGGCGTTTTTACGTTCCTCTTTCCTCTCCCTCGCATCCATCAACTTCAAATGTGCAGTTTTCTGTTTTAAAATCCTACAACCAGTGGAATACCATCGAAGCGGTATGTCACTATCAGCATCTCACTGCTGTGCTAAATCAGTTTCCTTTCTTCGCTCAGCAGTGCTGATTTTCTCATCGAACCTCTCGCGTATCAACTGCCCTTGTAGTGCTCTCACCATCTCAATCTCGGCTATCTTGCCATTCAGAGCAGCCCTGCAAACTACCAACATTGAAATTTTACCAGTGATGTGAATAAACATTTTTCACATTTCACTTTACGAAAAACGCATGTGAGCAGTGAATGACGAGCATCACGTGTTTTACGTGATATTCGCTAAGTGTTATCGCCGCACTTCGCATCGCGAATATCACATAGTTTTCACATAGAGTATAATGCAACTTCACGTAAAACGGGTAAAGCTCCTTAGTATGCCCAGTTGTCTCCGTGCATTCGTCTCGTATACACATCAGAGAATTATCCAGAAACCTATAGTGTTTCCGGGGGGGAACTCATTTTGAATTTTCCACGTATGGCTAGGAACACATTCTTCAATCAGTTTCCCATGTAAATGTCATAATCACATTTAGGAGCATCATTTTGCCCATTGTTATCAAAGCCTGGGGAACGTTATTTCGCAAAGGTACATGGAGTCCTTATACAATGTATATCTATTAGTATAATTATATATTATTAATAATTTATATTTATATTGTCGCTTTATAATGTATATAGATATCGATCTAATAAACACCTAGTATATAGGATATTCATGACCAGGTATATTTTTTTACGCGACAATGAATGCCTCTACTATTTATTGATACTATGTGCCGATATTATAACGACAATCCAGATATAGTTGGCATTTTCTGACCAACTGACCTCTCTATAACCCTCTATAACTTCTTTTGACCTTATCAGCTCTGATAAGTCCGTCGTGGCCTTACAGAGTCGCGGAGTAAAAATAAGTAAATATGAATATAATATAAATTCATTAACTATTTATAAATAGATATGCTTATGATTATCATTTAGTAATATAATTATTAAATATATACTACAGATTAAAACTAATATATAACAATACCCAATAATACCCCCCTGGATAGAACGACAACTTATCGATAGCCCTACCGTTTCTTCTCCTCCTCCTGGCTCTTCTCAGAGATAACCAAACTCTGTCCCATCTGCCACTCCCTTAGTCGCTGATCCTCCAACAACTCTTGCGCTGAAGCATCGGCCCGTCTCGCTGCGAGTTCCTATCAAATAAGGAAGCTCAGAAACCGGAAAGTCACCGACAATGCTGAGGGGAGAGAGTAACCGTTGGCTGGATGTGTCAGCATGAGAAGCCTTCGACGGCAGGTGGCCGTAAAGCCTTCTCATGCCTCTCTCTCAGGTAGTAATCTAAAACCCTGGCGAGCGCGAGGAAGACTACTTCTGTTCAACGTTAGTTATCAACAGACGTGTGAATATGCACTAGAAGTTTGCCCAACGTTGAGAATTACACTAAATTCTAATATGGTCTACTATTTTCCAATTTACGGTGATACTACTGCTGTAATGGAGCTTACTATGCTAAGCTCATCATCCTAATATACTGGAGTTTCACCACCCTAGTGATATGAAAAAAATATTTCAAGACTACTGCATATAGTTTTCCACTTCACGTAAAATTCCACTACTACTGAGTGAACTATATAAACTTGGTGATACTAAGGAAAGGTTATATGACAGTCTAAGACTTCAACCTCGACTTCTTCCCACCACATTGTAACTCACCACTTCAAGTGACTGTAGCCGATTCCTATTATCCTCCATACGCGCGTCGAGCAGCTCCTTAACGTGCTGCCCTCGTGCTTCTATTTGCTTCTGGGCTGCCGCAACTCTCTCTCGCCGATATCTGCAACAATGGAGTTTCACTATAGTGATATGAAAAACACTAGCGAAAAATATATTGGAATTTCACAACCGAATTTACGTGAAGTTCGTCGTACAACTCTGTGAAAAACGCGATATTCGCGCCCTGTAGTAGTCGTGAAATATGTTTTTCATATCACTAGGGTGGGGAAACTCCATTTCACGACTACTGCATATTACCGCGAATATCGGCTTTTTCACGAAGTGTTACGCCACTTCACGTAAAATCAGGTTGTGAATCTCCAATAAAAACACACACGCGAGTTCGCAACAATCAATACCGCTCTTTCTGTTCTAGTTGACTTTCCCTTTGGAGTTGCTCGCGATTCTCCCGCTCCACTGACATATGTTGTCTGAATTTAAACGAATTATTGTGATACCGTAAATGCTTCAAGCATACCTAGATTGAATCTTAAGCTCCTTTTCTAGCTTCGCAGCTTCCTTTGCTATAAGACTCTCTATCATTTGCAAATTCTGCAGACCTTGACTGGCGCTTATTGAACTCGTCAAAGGAGACTGTTCCCTCATCACCGCCTGAGTGAGGAAAATTGATGATTCTCATATTTTGTAAACACCAGAATGGGAAAAATGCGCATGTGTTGATTTTCGTGACAACCACATGTGTTGGTGACAATATGAGTTCCTGGGTACACTGCTACCCAAATTCGTGTGTGAATTTTTATAATAAGTGAGTTCAGCTCAAGAAAGCGAACATATATTTTCCAACACTGTGCGAATCATTCCACATTTTTTGAGTTATTCGTCTGCATGAACTAAATGGCAGCGCAGAAGTCCAATAAGAAAAGGGGAAACTCAATCCCATTTTCTACCATCACATTCACACAGACAAAGAATCCGAAAAAATCGCCGAAAAACTGAGAATCCTCGGAAATGCAATTATTAGTAAGCAACAAGGAATTGCCAATTT